CAAAATCAAAATATGCTGGTTAACATGAAAACATGAATGCAGATATGTTTGTTTAATTTCTTAATGGAAAACTGTTACCTAATTTATTCGTCTTCCGGGTTTGGACCGTGTCATTTGTGAGTGACCCAAAAGTGGGTACATCTCGACGTTTCGCTACAATTGTATGTAGCTTCTTCAGGAGAACAAAGAAAAAGAAAAAAGAAAAATAAAACAAAAGACAGGAAGATGGGTAGTTAGCAACGGTATTTCAGTTACTCAACGCAACCAGAGGCGAATACTAACTACCAAGATGGGCATTTGGTCACAGTAACTCAACTACTCAACGCAGCCAGAGGTGAAAACCAAATGCCAGGACAGGGATTCACGTCCAACAGCTCAGAACACTAACGCGTCGAGAGGCGGGGAGTGAATCCTCCCTGAATGAATGAAGGATTCACTCCCCGCCTCTCGACGCGTTAGTGTTCTGAGCTGTTGGACGTGAATCCCTGTCCTGGCATTTGGTTTTCACCTCTGGCTGCGTTGAGTAGTTGAGTTACTGTGACCAAATGCCCATCTTGGTAGTTAGTATTCGCCTCTGGTTGCGTTGAGTAACTGAGTTACCGTTGCTAACTACCCATCTTCCTGTCTTTTGTTTTCTTTTTCTTTTTTCTTTTTCTTTGTTCTCCTGAAGAAGCTACATACAATTGTAGCGAAACGTCGAGATGTACCCACTTTTGGGTCACTCACAAATGACACGGTCCAAACCCGGAAGACGAATAAATTATAATTCTGACTCTGGCCGTGGAAGCCTACGATCTCATTTAACTGTTACCTAGTCTGAGTGAACAATCAGTTATGGTTTTAGATAATGCACCTTATTATTCGGAGATTTTGGAAAAACAACCAAAACTGTCGTGGAACGTACCAAGCTTAAAAAATTGGTTAGTTAAAAATATTATCAATTTTCCCGAACACATCTTCAAATCAAGAGTTACTTTAAATTCCAGAACGTAATAAAAAACCAACAGTTTATATAGTTGGCCAAATTGTATCAAGTTATGGACATTATGTACTACGGTTACCGTCGTATAACTGCCAGCTTAATCCCATCGAGCACATCTGGGGCATATATAAAACCTATTATGATAATCACGTTGTATGCAGTGGATACAATGACGAAGCAGTTAGGGAAATGTGAGAAGAAGCTCTTAAAACTGCAACTCCAGAAATATGGGCCAAAACTGTAATTAAATGTGAAACATCCAGTGAGTATAGATTTACATAATGATAGAGGTAGTAAATTTAGTGCTATTTACAAAATAATTCTACAGCAGGTTAACCATTATATTTATACATTCGTTATTAACCAAATAAACAATATTTAAAATCCCATATGAATTTTTGCTCCTCATTTTATACAAATTAACTTATTGATAATATGGGCAAAAATATTCTAAACAATGTAAATAATTAAAGATTATGGAGAACTTCAGTGCAGTTTACCGTGCCTTTTACTACAATGGAAAATTTTCTGCGAAATCCATTAATCGTTAGGTGTAAGGTGGAAGTTGGTTGAATGTACTGTAAATATCCAGTTTATGCTTTTGAAACAATAACCTAAGAACACAATTTTATTTCAAGTTTAGAATGTCAGCAACAAAATTTTTATTAAATAAAAAACAAAAGAACTATAAAGAATACATTGAACGTTCTCGTTCGCATTCTAGTCAAGAGAAATAAGATATTCCCGTGACTTTCAGCCGTCCAGATTTCTGAATTTTTTTTTTGAGTTTTATGGACCTGAATAAACCAAAGCTCAATGTTTCAGTGAGACTTATTAAATTATTAACGTCAAACAAAGTCAAAAATGTACAATTTTAAGAACTTTCGTCAACCAGTAAAAAGTAAAGTATTCTGGACGAATTTGAAGGTAACTATTTGATAAAACACATTTAAAGCTCTAAAAAGGAGATATAATATTGGTAATTTATTATTTTTTTGCTTAGAAAACTGCAAAAAAATTAAAAATTATTACTGTTTTTCAATAAATGTTGATAACTATTGTTACGGAACCTCCAATTACACTAAAAACTGGGGTATTAAACGAAGGATCAGATTTAATGCCCACTATAACAAAATCAGAAATCAAAGAAGCCCTGAAGAAAATGAAAAATAATCGAACCCCGGGTGAAGATGGAATAGTATCAGAAGCACTAAAAATTGGAGGGGATGTATTACTTGAAAAAATTAAACAACTTTTCAATATCTGCCTTCACAGCGCCAATATTCCAACAGACTGGAACAACGTTACTATGATTCTATTACACAAAGCAGGAGACAAAGCAAATTTAGAGAATTACAGACCGATTAGCCTCCTCGACCATATATATATAAGTTGTTTACGCGAATACTAGTTAAGAGAATGGAAAGAATAATAAAGACTTATCAACCAAGGGAACAGGCAGGATTCCGAAAAAGTTACGGAACAAGTGACCATCTACAAAGTATAAAAACCCTAATAGAGAAAACAGTGGAATACAATCAACCTCTAGTTCTAATATTTATCGATTTTCACAAAGCCTTTGACACAGTTGAGCTAAGCAAAATATTACAGGTGCTTAAAGAATGCAGGCTAGATTATAGATATACTAAATTATTATACAAAATATACCTGCAGGCAACAATGACTGTCAAATTACATACTAACAGTAATCGCATAAAAATAGAACGGGGGGTTAGACAAGGAGACCCAATGTCACCTAAACTTTTTAATACGGTGCTAGAACATGCTTTTAAGAATTTGTATTGGATTGCAAAGTAAATAAAAATAGATGGAGAATATCTAAACAACTTACGTTTCGCCGATGATATACTTATAACAGCTGAAGATCTAGGTATGGCAAGAGAGATGGTACAGGAACTCGTTGTGGCTACAGAAAAATGTAGGTTTAAATATAAATATCTCGAAGACAAAAATCATGACCAATTTGGGAAAGAAATAGAACTCGTAGATAGATATAAATACCTGGGACATGAAATTATGATTGGCAGAGATAACCAGACTCATGAACTGAAGAGAAGAGTCGGCCTTGGGTGGGTAGCATTTGGAAAACTGAGAGAAACTTTTAAAAGCGAGCTGCCCACATCCCTAAAGAGAAAGGTATTTGATCAGTGCGTCCTTCCAGTCTTGACGTACGGAGCAGAAGCACTTACCTTAACAAAAGCAGCAGCTACCAAACTGAGAGTCACGCAGAGAAGAATGGAGCGGTCCATGTTAGGAATAACTCTGCGAGACAGAATAACCAACGAAGATATCAGGAGAAGTACCGGAGTGACTGACATCATCGAGAAGATAGCCAGACTAAAATGGAGATGGGCAGGACACATAGCCAGAATGACAGATGGGCGATGGGCAAAAAGGTTATTGGAATGAAGGCCAAGGGAAGACAAGAGAAGCGTCGGTCGACCACCTACAAGATGGACTGATGATTTAAGAAGAATCAATAAAAATTGGATAAGAGCGGCTCAAGATAGACGGGGTTGGAAACATGAGGAAGAGGCCTATGTTCAGCAGTGGACTCTTGAGGCTGGATGATGATGATTGTAAAAACAAACCTACAGCTTTGATATTGTGTAAAAAGTTGTAGCAAGAAAGAAAAGCATTAGCAAGAAAAGTTATTCTATTAAAATAATTTAAAAAAACGTTAGACATAATCATTTCCGATATTGCAAAAACTAACTGCAAAATACTGAAATATTATGTTAAACGTAGAATAACTAAAACATCAGCTTGTACAAATAGAGTAAAATAAGAACGTGGAAAAATATCTAAAATACTATTTGAAGACCAAAGATATAACACCTTTGAGCTAGAAGAAGAGGTAAATGATGGACCAAGAATATTACAGCAGGAAGTTTATTCCGCAATAACACAGTTAACTGATGGCAAAGCGGTAGACCCTGATGATACACAAGCAGAACTACTTAAACTAATGGACAACGAATCAATAGCAATAATCGCAAAGATATTACAACTTATACACCTCTGGAAACCATCAAGAAAAGGAAAACGGCGTATCTAGGTCACATCATGCGAAATGAAAAATACCAGTTCCTCCAACTTATAATCGAGGGTAAAATTGAAGACAAGAGAGGAACGGGACGCAAGAAAATGTCCTGGCTCCGAAACATAAGGCAATGGACAGGGATTAACGACATACAATCTCTGATACATATTACAAGAAATAGAGAATTAATGGAAAATGTAATCGCTAACATCCATTAGTGGATTTGCATCTGAAGAAGAAGAATACAACTCTGGAGAAAGATCAACAGCATGGCTGAAATATAAGTTTATTGCACTTCCAGAAAAAACAGAAGCTAAAAAATGCGAAAATTACAATATCAGCCTCATGAGTCATTTCATAAAATTGTTTCTAATGAAAATTCATAAGAGAATCTACAAGCTGTGTGAAAGTCAAATTTCCCCCAAACAGTTCGGGTTCACAAATGCTGCTGGTACTAGATAGGTTTTGTCCTCAGCCAAAGAAGCTTTATTCATCGTTTTGTGTCTTATGTTATTGCAAAAAAAATCTTTAAATTTGTTCAAAATGCTTTTATTTTTACTAATAGGCGAATTTTAATACTTTAATGAGAAGGCGCTCATCATTCTCTTGTATAACAGTGAATTTATTCGTGTTAACCAAAATATACATATGAGTAATTTAAAAATAGTAGGTATATTGGAAAAATATAGAAGTATGTATATAAGTAAATAAACTACATTAAAAGTTACTGCTAAGTAACATTTTCTTAATGTAGTTTGTTAAAACAAATTTATTGTAATGTCAAACGTTTACATTTAATACTAGATTTTAAAATGTACCTTAAAAATTGTTATGATTACTCTGTAAGATATTCAACTCTTTTCAAATATAATATAGTATGACTCTACTGTGCTTGTATCAAACATTAAGAAATGCAGTATACAGAAATATATAAAATAAATAAACTAACCAGCATTAACTGGAAGTACTGGAAGTACTCGTAGAAGGCACTGCAGGATCATCGTTATTAAAAATGGTCACCACGTAATGCAGATCGCCCATGCTATCACAAATTTCTTTGAGTACGTTGATGGGAAGACTCATCGGCGTACGACGTCCAAAGGCTAAATCATGGTTTATCAAAAAGCGGCATTTTTGTTTGAGAGCTATAGCTTTGTTCTCAGTGTTTTCCTTCAAAAATTTCATTTCGTACGTAAAGTTGGTTTTGTGTTTGCGATGGCCTAAGTAGTAGCATGCGAATTTTAGCCATCCGCATTTCATGTCAACAAATAAAGTCAATCTAAAGTAGCAGTTATGAGCAAAAATCATGTACATCCTGTAACTGTGATGGCACGTGTCGAAATGTTGGTAGCATAATCTGTTTACTGCTTTCGTGGAATATGTGTAGTGATGTAAATCCATACAGTGGTCTAAGAGTTCATAAACGGTGCCTGCCCAGCTGCAGAGTGACGTGAAGTTAAACGGACATCCCTTGATGGTAAACGTACATTTCTTCTGATGATGACGTAGGTACTTATGTCGGGCTTTAAAAGTACACCCGTTATCTGCGTACTTGCACGGCAAGCTTACTTTGTAGTACTTAGATTCCAGTGGTAAATTTCGTACATAAACTTTTGGAGATGCGCATAAAGAACATCGATTTATGGCAACGTAACATGCGTAGCAGAAGCAGTGACTCAGTGTACATCTGAGAATGGGTGGTTTCATGATAAAATGACATATGGGGCATCTTAGCTGCCTTAGGGTGGCTTCTTCCATTGCAGGATCTTCATCCTGTAACAAATATTTAAAAATATACTACATAATTTGTAGAAGTTTTGTAAAATACACACATGAAAATAATCTAGGGGATAAAAACAAAATGAAAGACTACTGAAGGATTTCAAATAATTTGTTTTAAATATTTGTAACAAAAAGGTATAAACAAGTGTCCAGAATATAAAATATACATTTTTTCTTAGAATTTACGCAATAGTTCTTAAGAAAATTAAAAGAGAAGATCAAGTCAAAAAAAGGTAACAAAAAAAAAAATAAAAAACTAATTTTTTGCACCTCAACTCTTAACAAAATAGTCTTTAGGATAAATTAATATAGTGTATAATGTCCACAGTTGTTGATTTCTTCCTACATCTGTATGGCAAACTCATGATCAGACGGTCAATCTCTTGCTACGGAATTCCGTTTCATTCCATTGGAAGGCCCTCAAACAGTTGCTGTCTTATATTAAACGCAAAAATTTTGTTGTAAAATGCCTCTGCCCAATATGCCTTATATGCTCAATTTTTTTAAATCTTGCGATTGTGCAGGCCATGGTAAAACCTTAATTTCATTATCTTCAAGGAATGTTCGCACGACTCTGGCATTATGTGGACGCGCATTCTCGTGCCTTAATTAAAATCTGGGACCAGCTTGTTATTTAAATTGTATACAATAGGTTCGAGAATAATATTGCGGTAGTCTGTTGCAGTTAGAAACCGTTTCAGAAAAACGAGATTGATTCTTCCGACAAGAGTAGTGCCACCCAATACCATTATACTGCGGTCTTGCTGTCTATGAAGTTCCTGCACAGTGACCAATAGTTCAGCATTGTTAGATTATCTTCAAATTCTTGTCTGTCTTTTATCTGGTGCAAGACCCAATTCGAAACTTATCTGTGTCCAACGTATTTCTGTGTCCACTGAAATCGATGAATGTGATTTGTTCTTTAAAACAGAGGCACTCTCACGGGACTTCGAGCATTTAACTTTAACTTTCAACGAGTGTTGGAAAGAATTTTTGCTTTAACATTCTGCTATTGACCACTAAAGAGCGATACAATAGTTTCGCTTTATAAATATAAAGACTTTGGAATTTAGATAAAGCTTTGGGCCAAGGAGAAGTGGAGAATTGCGTGGCCGATATGGACTCGGGGAAAAGAATAAACGTGGCGATAGGCTTGTCGATTTCTGTCTCAATGAGGAACTTATAATTACAAATACCTTGTTTAAAATTCCTAAACGTGGACTATATACATGGAGGTCACTAGATGACAATAACAACAAAGTAGTCAGAAATCAAATAGATTATATTATCGTCAACATAAGATATAAAAATTCTATAATACCATCTAAAACTTATCCAGGAGCGAACATATCCTCCGATCACAACAAGGTTGTTTTGTCGATGAGAGTGAAACTAAACAAGATCAACAGTCCTATCACCAAGAAAATCATTTAAAATAAACGAGAACTTAAGGAAAGTCAAACAAGATAATGCGGAAACTTTAACTATTGACCAAAAATGGGAAAAAATTCAACTTGGAGAAAAACCCTCAAACCACTTGGAAAATAAACAAAACCTTGGATAACAGTAGAACTTCTTGAACTTATGGAATAACGAAGAAAACATAAAGCAAAAGACCTGAATAAATACACAGAAATTCAGAGAAACATCAGAAAGGATATTCGAGAAGAAAGAGAGAGGTGGCTCTCCGACAGATGCAAGGAAATAGAAGATCTGAGTAATCTAGAGTAATAATGACAGATAACACAATGATTTACAGAACGTAATGCAACGTCTTAATGAACGCTTTCATGAGTACGGACTGAAGATAAATTTAAAGAAAGCTAAATGCAAGATCATGACAAATCTGCACATGCAAATATCCAGTTGACTATTGAAGATACTAAAATTGAGAGTAGTAATAACTATAAATAGTTAGAAACATGAATAACATCAAATGTAGACCAAACCAAAGAAATTAAGAGACGTATTGAAATATTACTTACAACATTCATTGAACTTAAAAAGTTTCTTAGCTGTCAGGATATAAGGTTAGAACTACGCCTGAGAATGTTTCGATGTTACGTGTTCTCTACTCTTCTTTATGGCTTGGAAGCGTGGACACTAATACAACTCCATCTGAATAAGTTGGCCGCCTTTGACATTTTGTATTACAGAAGAATTCTACGAATATCATGGATTCAAAGAATGTCAAACGTGGAAGTAACTAGAAGGATAGGAAATGAGGCGGAAATAATATTAACTATCAAAAGACGAAAACTTGAGTGATAAAACATGTGATGAAAGGGCAAAAATAGGCATTATTACAACTTATTATGCTGGGCAAAATCCGAGAAAAGCGAAATGTGGGAAGACGAAGAATATCCTGGCTTAAGAACTTAAGGGAATCGTTTAAATGCAGTAGTGCAGAACTTTTTAGAGCGGCAGTCAACAGAGTCCGCATAGCCATGATGATTTCCAACCTTCGACAGAAGATCTTCGAAAGAAGAAAAGAAGAATAAAAATTATGAAAAGAAAAGAAATTCTAAGAAGAGAAAGACAGCAAGGACAAACATAAATTAAAATCTAAAAGAAAAATGAAATTTCCGAAGTTTGCTGTACACGTAAAAATAATTTCATCATAAAAACTCTTTTGAAAATCTTTATAAAAGGTATTCGTCTTTTAAAAAAGACGAATTACTTTAGCGTGTGCAGTCTTTGGAAAACTATGAGACAGTTACAGAAAAGTGCCAATGCGTATTACCGGTCATGATTTATTGATGGAAATTGTGACCTCAGCCAGTACGACGGCATCGAAATTAAAAGGCGAATAAAATCTAGATCTAGGATAAAGCAGGCGGCTTTTAGAGGGATGTCCAAGGTGTTATGTAACAGAGACCTAAAATTGGCATTGAAGACCCGCCTACTTTGCTGCTACGTGTTCTCGGTCTTCCTTTACTTGTTGAGTCATGGACTCTGAATAAAATCGATCTAAATCGCCTTGAGCCTTTCGAAATGTGGTGCTATAGAAGAATTTTAAAAGTTTCCTGGTGGAGAAGATTCGAAACTCCAAAATACTAGAACGTCTTAGCAAGACTACTGAGATCATAAAAAGCATCAAGTAGAGAAAGCTTGAGTATTTCGGACATGTAATGAGAGGTCCCATATACGTTGCTACAAAATATCATGCAATGAAAAATAGCAGGCAAATGCAGTCCAGGACGAAGAAGAACCTCATGGTTGAAGAACTTGCGATATTGGTATGGTGTCTATGCTGGGAGTGACGTGATGTTCGGTGGTGATGTTGCGGGATCGAAAAAAGAACGAAGATCTGCGAAAAAGTATTGCTGATGTTGTGGAACGTATAGCAGAACTTAATGGAACTGGGATGGCCATGTAGCAAAAATGCACGACTCACTATGAACGAGCAAAATTACAAATTGGCGGTCAAGAGCAGACAAACGTAGTACAGGAAGACCACCTACTCGTTGGGCTGACGAGATCAGGCGTATCACAAAAAATTGGCAACAAGGAGCACAAAACGTAAAGAATAGAGAAGTTTAAGGAAGACCTATGTCCAGTAGTGGAGGTGATAAAAGAAAGCTGGATGATGATGATAAACAAAATGATAGTAGTCGTTCGAAATGTCCGATTAAAGGAGGTGATCGTTGAAGAGAAAAAATGAAAGTTTAAACATGAAGTTCTAAAAATAAGTTGTAATAATTGTAATTCGACACATTCGAAAGAAAAGTACTGAGGAGAATACTAGGACCTGTAAGGGAAAACGGAATCTTCAGAATTCGATATAACAACGAGCTCTATCAACTGTATAAGGAAACACCCCTGTCCGACTTCATTAGAATATAAAGATTGCAATGGGCCGGACAATGGGAAGAGACAGTAAGCAGCGACGCACAAGCACTTTTAGGAGTCCGTGTATGGAGAAGAGCAGCCACAGACAGACAAGGGTGGAGGCAAAAAACAAAGGAGGCCAAGGCTCACTTTGGGCTGTAGTGCCGTAGAAGAAGAAGAATTGTAATTTGCCTTAAGATATTCTTCGGCCAAACAACATTAAAGTTTGTTCCAAATGACCTTGAAAAATTAAATTTATTCTCTATTTTTAGAGGATATCATCAAATTCAGGATATGATCATATTGTCATTTTTTCTATTTGCTCAAACCTTATAATTTTCAACTAAAAGCATGGCTATTTGCCTACAAGATCGAGGCTGAAGAAAGTCATCCATCAAGTTTAAAAAACATAACCACTTAACAAACTTTTGGTTATAATCACACTTACTACTTTTTAATATATTTTTTTGTCAAAGCAATTTAAAATTAACTTTGATAATATACAAGGTAAATATCGAGCATCGAGGTATTAATTAAATCTTGCCCAAGTACTTTCGATCACTAGATCATCTTCAGGGGCATTTCGTCAATTGCGGCCTATCCGATTTGTCCTATGTCAACTGACGAAATGCCCCTGAAGATGATCTAGTGATCGAAAGTACTTGGGCAAAATTTAATTAATACCGTGCTCCTACTTTTAAATCTAAAGGTCGTGAGTTCGAATCCCATCTGGGTAAAGAAATTTTCGTTTAAGTATTAAAAATTATTGAATGAAAATAATTTCTATCCATGTGCGATCGGTACTCACGGAGGGACCGCAGACGTTCGGATACAATTAGCGTCTCTTAGCAAAGACAATGACGTCGACTTTGCTAAGTATCAAGACAATTACTCTACACATACACACACTACACTAGGTACCTGACTGTACCATGCCAATGATCATAGTTGTCGAGGCATTAACTCGACATAAAAAAAAAAAGTTGTTGATTAATTCCATATAAACATACCTAATATTTATTTTGACACAACTCTTATTTGTACTTATTTTATTAACATATGTTTTAATATTAATTTAATTAAATATTTTATGGACATGTAATCAAAATAAACTAAAATTAATTTGTAAATAGCGCGGTAATATCGCTGGCGTCACTAAATTCCAAAAAAATTAACTTCTCCGCACTGATTTAGAGGTTATCAAATGGTTTGCTAACGATTTTCTTGAAGCAAAAAGTCTTTATTATGTATTACTAGTATTGCTAGTATAATATTTTTCAAAGTAAAAACGTTGCACGTCACAATTTATGTAGTGAGGTCACTCAGTTAAAACTTCCAAAACGACATCCTTAGAGTTCAAATTTTCCTAACACAGCTAATAATACGAAACCCATACGGAACTGCTTGATCTTTCACAGGCGTCAACATGGTATAATTATTAGAAAAATGTAATCATTAATATATTGAGAATTATATTGATTAAATAATAAAAAACATTTGTTATCATTAATCATATAAATTTTATGAAATAACTCTTGTTTAAGGTATAATATTCCACAAAATAGTAACTTTAATTAAATAGATTAGACAATTGTACACAACTGATACGGGAATACTTCAAATTTTAATGACAGTTCAGCGTGTGGCAAAATTGTCGCTTGTGGCAGTGTTGTCGTTTTTTTAGAGTGAGAATTTTACTGTTTATGTTTTGATTTCTTACACAATTTGATCATAATATATTATATATTAATAAATTGTATTTACAAATACATATTAATTTTAGATTAATAGCTTTAAAACTAATTATTGTTGTGTATTGTGATTGTGTTATGACACAAGAACTAAATAGTCTGTAGAAAGCTGATAAGCTTTCATATAAGATAGATTAGTTTGAACAACAAATAATGGCGGGACATTTTTACTTTTAATGCTCTAAAAGACTTTAAATTTAGAATATATAATTTTGTAATAAACTGTTTTCTTATGTATTTTAGTTTGTTGTAGTAGTCTTAAAACATTAGTGTATTTACTATTAATATAACAATTTGACAAATGGTTGACATTTTAAAAATTCCTCACTTACTAACTAATCTGATATTTTGGCAACGCTGTAGGATCCTGACGTTGTAAATCTTGAATTACGTGCAATCATTTATATATGAAATATTCTATAGCAATGTCAGTCGACTAAAAATCAAACGATCAAGCTAAAATTTGCCAAGAATATTAACTTTGGGACCCCAAAACAGATAAAACCACTTTTACTCCCGGGCTTCCTTCTACAACCCCTGAATAGGAAGGTAAAAACGCAAAAAAATCGATTTACCAAGAATTTGTACGACGTAGAAAAAAATGTTTCAAATAAAAAATGTACGTGAGACAATTTGAACTAAAAAAGTTTATTAGCACTTTTTGTGTATAATACTTAAACCGTTCCCTTAGAAAGAACGCTTGAAGCGACCGTCAATTTTGGATGTCAGTTATTTGCGCGAAATCAATGTTTAATTAATATTGTATTAGTTCGACGGTAAAAATTTGATATTTTTTGATCCAAAATCAAGTTGCGTTGTTACGCAATAAATTGCGTTGTTACGTTTTACCAATAAACTGTGGTAAAATTCAAGGAAACTGGGGAAACGCCATTTTTGCAGTTTTTGGGGACTTAAAAAATGGAAAAAAGCTATTTTTTGTAATTTAAGGTAATAAAACCAAAGAAATTGCTAAAAAAACCTTTAAATAGTGAAAAAAAAATCATAAAAAATAGGAAATTACTATAAAAATCTAGTAAAATCTATATAAATAAATACAAATACTAATATTTATGGTCTAAACCATTAAAAAAGTCATAAAAAGGTATAATTTATTAAAATAGTGAAAAGAACTCTGCGCATCTGCGTAATAATTAGAATTTGACATACATTCGCAATGCTGCCACGTTTATAATTGCTTTATATGGAGTAAAAATGTATAACATATTTGAAATAATAAATTATAAAAATTTGAAATAACAATATATGAATTTGAAATAAGAATATATAAGAATTTGCAATAAGAATATATAAGAATTTGACATAATATATAACTAACCTAACCGAACCCAACCTAACCTAAACTAACCCAACCTAACCTGATCAAACCTAACAGAACCTAACCTGATCAAACCTAACTTAACTTAATCTGATCAAACCTAACCTAACCTAACCCAATCTAACCTAACCTAAGCCAACCTGATCAAACCTAACTTTATCAAACCTAACCTGATCAAACCTAACTCAACGCAATCTAAACTGCCATATAAACAAGTTAATAACTCGCGAAAGACAAAATATTAACTTTTTTGCAAAATAAAATTTTCTTTCACATATTTATACGTTTACAAAATTTTGCAAGAAACAATATTTTTTGAAAATATGGCAACATTGGTGAAAAAGTGACATGACATTAACAACAGCACAATCAAAATGGACGATTTATTTGAAAATTCATGAAATGTCAAAACACGCAATTTTTAAACGAGAATTATAGAAAAAATATGCATTAAGATACGGAATCCTCAATTTTTCGAGTATTATAAAGTGAGTGGAGATAAACATGGCGCGTTTTTTAGTATTTTTATAATTCTCGTAAGATCAATAAAATTGATAATTTTCATTGACCATTCAAAGTAAACTTATTAATAGGGATCAATCTTTAAAACATATGATATGAAATTTTATTTTTAAATTGTGGCAACAAAGATGGGGAATTTGAAATATGAATAAAAAGTGCAGAATTTAATTCTTCAACAGATCGCACATCGCGAAAAATGCCTCAAAGAAGAATGTTGTGCATGTAGTTTATAGCATAAGTTTGGTTCTCTTGAAAAACGTACTAGTTTAATTGAAAAGAAAATGTTTTAGATTGTTATGTGAAAGTTTAAATCGATCGTTTTTTAAGCATATTTTAAATGCCTTGCATGTATTGCCAAAACTCAAAACTAAATCGAATTTTTTGCGTTTTTACCCACCTACGAGGAAATTTTTAGGGAAAAACCCGGAGTTAAAAGTTGTAAACTTTTTTTGAATCTTTTTTGAAGTCCTAAAATTGACATTTTCGGCAAAAGTCAGTGTGTTAGTATGATTTTTAGAGTACAAGTGGAATTTTTGTCTCTGACGAATGGAGTATGAATATGCATCACAAATTTGGCTATCTCAAGTAAAAAAATAATCTAAGAGAATCATTAAATTAGAGTCATTAAATAGGAAACATAATAAACAGAAGGCAAAATTTTGATTAGTAAACCAGTTAATTTTGTTTTTATTATCACATTGCGAAATAATATAGAAATACTAATTTTAGTTCTTTATTTCGTTATCAATAGGTTTGTTCCAACACTCAATTTTTGTACGGTCCGGAAACCGTCACGAAACTACTTGTACCGTTTTTAATGCGCATGTTCATCATTTGTATCGTCTGATGACGGTAATTTGGAAACTGATGTTGGAACGATTTTCTGACAACTGACATAATTTGGTGATAATCTACTAAAATAATTCTGATTTTTCATCCTAGGTTCGGCTAATAGTTCCAAATCATCCTCACTACTATAATAATCAGAAAAATCACTAATTCCTTCGTCGTTAGTCATGTTTATAAAGTTATAAATAACGAAAAACAAATATATAAATAAATAACAAGTCTATCATAAGCGTCTGGTAAAATCATTAACATAACTTCTGCTTTTTTCTAAAGAAATTTACAGTTTTAATATAAAATCTAGGCCCAACAAATTTAAAGGAGTGGAATAAAATCCTAGTGCGCAAGTCATCCCAACCAGTACATGCATTTGCCAGATTACTGAAATTATCGTCACGAAACCGTTACTGGGCAATCACAATTTTTGTTGGAACGGTCGGAAGGACGATGAGATGAACGATCATATTATTTTTGTTGGAACGTATTTTGTTTAGTGCGCAGGAGCGTAACCGTTACGTGACGGTTTTTCGTTGTGTTGGAACAAACCTAATGTCTACACTTTCTAAACAAAACTGACGCATGCGCTCTTGTTATTATATGCACGCCCGTTAGAAAACAAAACAAATTTTATAGATGGAAAAAGTAAAGTTATGAAAACATTAATTAGTTAATTATTAAAGATAAGCTTTATAGCATAATATTATGAAAACACTTGTTGCTAAATAAACAACGGAAATAACTAGATTACTGAAATACAGTAAAAAAAATATGACAATGGAGAGCGCACTGAATCGGCTGCAATGAAACTACCAAAATAGCAAAAAATATGACCAAAAATAACGGAATTTTTTAGTTAAATAATAACTAAAACAATTATACAAAACTCATAGTACAGAAAATAATCCGTGGAAAAAATGAATGCAATAAAAAATATTATTAATTAAAAAAATCAGAATTCAAATACTAAAAAAACATATTTTTGTTTACTCATATATCTTAAATAAATCTATAAAACACAAAAGAAGAAACAAAACCTACCTCTGAAGATGAACCAACTTGAAACTCAACACTATCACTTGAATCAACAGATGCAGAACTAGCACTTGAAGAATACATTTTGAAACTGTGGATCAACCGTACACGACAACAGACAAATACTGTTTGACTGTTAAATGACAGTTTTCTAGCGAGGTAAAATTTTCTAATAGATTAGTAAACAATTTATGCAAATTAAGGCTGGCGATAGCTAGAAAAAGTATTGGAAGACCGTTGTTTAATGGAAAAATTTTGACTACCTGCCTACCTCCGGATTAACAAAATACGTAATTTCTCCGAAAGTAATAGCCGTTACAGCTTTCACTTTGTTATTGTAAATAACATTGAGTTATTTATATTATATTTGATGTTTACAAAATGTTTAAATGCCTCAAGAACATATTACAAATCCAAATTTGGTAGAATTATGATTTTGTATAGGTATATATGTATAATTTTTTAAATTTTTGTTGACTTTTGCCAATTCATAGAAATAGTAGATAGTTCCATTTTCATAAAAGTAAATTTTTTCGATACGAAAATTTTATTTATTAATTGAAATTTCAAAAAGATTGTTAAAGATCCTGTAATTAAAAGCCCAGTTTATACGATATTATCATAATCAACATTATAAAACTAAACAACCTAAATAACAAAGTAATATGAAAGATATTTAGACCCACTCACTGTATATCACAAACAACTTCTAGATCTATTTAATATTATTGGGCTACAGCACAAATTTTCTGAAAATTGGCATGAATCTACAGCAATCTATATATATATATATATATATATATATAATATATATATATATATATATTATATATATATATATATATATATATATATATATAACACTGTTTTTGATGGGTTGGAGTCAATAAAAGGGCTATTTGTTGACTATTTTTTACTCGAGCTTTCAATTGTGATTACAATTTTTATCAAGAGCTTCTAAAAAATACAAAATATCTTACAAAGTTGAACTAGAAATAAATAATGTTGTTGTTAACTCACCAAATAAAATTAGTTATTTATATAAAACTGCTGCTAACATTATTACAAAAAATATTATTAAAAAAAAATGTTCTATTCTAATAAATGTCTCTCTGACAAATTTAGATAAAGTTTCTTAACAAAAAAACAATTGAATTTGTAAACAAAAATTGGATAGCTACAATTCAGCCTAAATGTCGTAAATAACAACTTAAAAATTTTTATTTTTGACATATTGTCAAAAATAAAATTTTTGTTTAAAACATTCTTCTTTGTTTAGTAACAAAAAATTTTTTATTTTTGACAATATGTCAAAAATAAAAATTTTTAAGTTGTTATTTACGACATTTAGGCTGAATTGTAGCTATCCAATTTTTGTTTACAAATTCAATTGTTTTTTGTTAAGAAACTTTATCTAAATTTGTCAGAAAGACATTTATTAGAATAGAACATTTTTTTTTTTAATAATATTTTTTGTAATAATGTTAGCAGCAGTTTTATATAAATAACTAATTTTATTTGGTGAGTTAACAACAACATTATTTATTTCTAGTTCAACTTTGTAAGATATTTTGTATTTTTTTAGAAGCTCTTGATAAAAATTGTAATCACAATTGAAAGCTCGAGTAAAAAATAGTCAACAAATAGCCCCTTTTATTGACTCCAACCCATCAAAAACAGTGTTATATTTTTTCCAAACGAGTCACAAGTACTTCTTTTATATATATATATATATATATATATATATATATATATATATATATATATATATAAGTAAATTTTCAATATTGGGTTTGCAGCAAAATAAAAATGATACGTGTACTCTTTTAAATTTTTATTCCGAGCTTTCGGACATGGTTATGTCCTTCATCAGGGAGCTACAAATATGATGAATAGTTTGTTACAAGTTTGTATAATTAATTAAAGATTCGCTACTTACAAACTTAATGAGGTTGGATCATCAATGATTTTCTAACATGTCGATAAAACTTATCACAGTCTGTCATATTATTATATAAAACTTATTCCTATATTTAAAATTTTTAAAAAATTGCTATACAATCACAAACACTTACTTATTATACAATTGTATATCATTTGTATAGCAATTTTTTAAAATTTTAAATATAGGAATAAGTTTTATATAATAATATGACAGACTGTGATAAGTTTTATCGACATGGTAGAAAATCATTGATGATCCAACCTCATTAAGTTTGTAAGTAGCGAATCTTTAATTAATTATACAAACTTGTAACAAACTATTCATCATATTTGTAGCTCCCTGATGAAGGACATAACCATGTCCGAAAGCTCGGAATAAAAATTTAAAAGAGTACACGTATCATTTTTATTTTGCTGCAAACCCAATATTGAAAATTTACTTCCTTGTTGTCAGCAAATACTTCTAGTTCATATATATATATATATATATATATATATATATATATATATATATATATATATATATATATATATATATATATATATATATATAAAAGAAAGTAAGTGTTACTTACACCAATTATAACTCAAGAACGGCAGAACAGATTTGGCTGAAAATTGGTAGGGAGGTAGCTTAGAGCCAGGAGATGGACATAGGATACTTTTTATCCCGTTCGACAGCGTTCCCGTGTGACTTGACATGAAACGTCAGTCACTATAAAACGTGGTATAACAAAAAAGAATCAGACTTGGAAAAACAAAACGCAAATGACAGCTATGTAATTGACGTAAAATGACAGCTCCGCGACCAAGACGATCGAATATTTCCCGACAAAGCCGTAATGCAAGATGAATACAAAATACTGCAAATGAAAGGACTGAAGAAGAACAAGAAATTGCACGTGAACAGCGCCGCGATAGTATGGCTCGACTTCGTGCTTCTCAATCACGGGAGCAAAGTGAAGCAGCCCGTGAAACAGCTCGGTTCAGAAGATATTTTACATCAAAGTTGTATCAGTTCCAGAAATCACGATATTAAGATCAATGAGGAGATACATAATCGTGCTATACTCTTGATCGAAGATATGTTTTACCTCATGTGCGGTAATTCGTAATCAGGTTAGGAATGCCAGCGGCAAATAAATGACGCATTTAATCGAGAATTGGAACGGGAACGTGAATATGATCACCAGGAATTAGATTTAGTAGTTCAAAGGAATTTACCTCTGTTGAATTACCAACAAAAGAAAGTTTATGATACTATAATGAAGGCAATCGCTGATGAAAATGGTGGTTTATATTTCCCAGATGCCCCTGGTGGAACTGGCAAGACATTCCTTATGTCATTAGTTTTAGCAACTTTTCGGGCGAGATCCAACATAGCGGTTGCAGTTGCTTCTTCTGGAATAGCAGCCACATTGTTAGAAGGATGCCGTGCGGTTCATTCAGCATTCAAATTACCGTTAAATCTTCAAACTATTGAAGAACCAACGTGTAATATTGCAAAACACTCAGCAATGGCCAAAGTTTTAGCGGCATCGAAAATCATCATCTGGGACGAATGCACAATGGCGCATAAACGTGTATTAGAAGCACTTAACCGAACATTAAAAGATTTACGCAATGACTCGAGATGTTTTGGAGGAGCAATGATTTTACTGTCTGGCGATTTCCGCCAAATACTGCCAGTAATTCCAAGATCTACGGCTGCCGATGAAATAAACGCTTGCCGAAAATCGTCACATCTATGGCGCTATGTGAAGAAACTGCAGCTGACAACTAACATGAGAGTTACATTGCTTAATGATACATCTGCTGAAGATTTCTCGGAGCAATTGCTGACTATCGGTAATGATCAAGTACCTGTCGATGAATCGAGCGGATTAATATCATTTCCAAATAATTTCTGTAATTTTGTCTCATCAAAAGACGAACTTATCAACAATGTATTTCCAAATATTATTTCTAACTACAAAAATAATGAATGGTTGAGTGAGCGAGCAATTTTAGCGGCTAAGAATAAAGATGTAGATGACCTGAACTACATAATTCAAAATAAAATCATTGGAACAATGCATTCATTCAAATCTATTGACTGCGTCACAAATGGAGATGAAGCCACCAACTATCCAATTGAATTTTTAAACTCTTTGGACGTGCCTGGCTTACCATCGCACAATTTACGCCTAAAGGTTGGCTCCGTAGTAATCATGCTTCGAAACATAAACCAACCAAAACTGTGCAACGGTACGCGTTTGGTGGTTAGTAAATTGATAAACAATGTAATTTATGCTACGATAATAATAGGAAAATTCAAAGGTGAGGAAGTTCTCATTCCGAGGATCCCGATGATCCCAACCGATATGCCGTTTGAATTTAAAAGACTTCAATTTCCGATACGTGAACCATGACCATCAACAAATCACAAGGCCAATCCTTAAAAGTTTGTGGTTTAAATCTAGAACATTCATGTTTTTCTCATGGTCAATTATACGTGGCATGTTCACGGGTCGGAAGACCATCTGCGTTGATTGTTTTTGGGCTTGATAATAAAACAAAAAATGTCGTGTATCACAAGGTACTTAAGTGAAGAGCAACCTATGTACTAAAATACAGAAATAATAATGAATGATTAATGTAGTTATTTAATTTTTTTTGTATTTTTTCCAAAAAAAAAACACAATCTGCTTATTTATTGCCATTAAGGCGGAACAAACTTCGCCGGGTCAGCTAGTACCTAAATAAAAACCTAATGAGTTGCAACTCATACAGTCCTCGAAGACATACCGTCTCAGGACTAGCAACTTTAACGTGGAGTCATATGTCGCCATGTTACCTAATCCATTAGTAACTCTATAATCTTAAATCATTATAACACAATTTTAAAACTAAATGTAATTAAACATCTGTTATCGGGTTTTAACCCACATATTTAATCTTGGTGGCTACATTCATGTACTCCTAGACACTGATGATGGAACATGGTTTCCGAAAACGTTTTGTCTTTTTAACTTAGCCCGTTTGGGCCTAAAATATATACCTATTACAAAGGATTTTTAATTAAATTTTCAATAAAAACTGTTTTTTGAAAAAAGTGATTAGAGGCAAAATTTTTTTTAAATAATGTGTTAAACTAATGA